GGGGCGAGTGCCTTTAAAATTTGCTTCTTTTGCTTTTGCTTTTCATATAAAAATAATTGTTATGCTCCGGAATCGGGTTTAAAAGGAAGGAAGGAAGGGAGCCACAGTCCCCGTCGCAGGACCCCTCCTCAGGATGCAGTTCAATAAACTGTTAAAAAGGCAAAGCATACTTAAAGGCGAACAAAAAATGAAATTGGAAATTGCATTTGTTTTTGTTTTTGATTCTGAATCCGCTGCTCCCTTTATTCCTTCATGACTCCTCCCATACAAGTATACGTATACTTACATGTATATCCCACATATAAGTATATATCGTACGAATACGGGATCTTTGGCCAATCGAAAGCCATTATGCCACAGCACATTGAATGCCCCATAAATAATGGCAGGAATGGGGAATGAGGAATAAGAGGTCCAGTTCAGAGTACGATCCAAGCAGAACAGAAGAAAAGGGCAAGCATAATTTATTTGCAAATTGATATTTAAAGGTCAAGGCGAAGGAATGTCCGAGCAAGAGCCGCTTTGGGGGGAGTCCGGAGAGCTTTTGGCTAATGGAAAATGAAAAATTTGCTTATCAAAGGACATGCTTAGGACTGCACAGGATAGGTCATTGGAGTGACCAAGACATGGATGGCGGAGATGAGTACTGCAGAAAAGTTCCTTGAACTGCTGCGCTTATCAAACACTTTATGCTGCGGCCTAGTGAATTTATAGCGCAAGTCATGCCCTGTCCCTCTGTTTGTCTCGATATGCAACATAATCTGTGAATCTCTCCCACCATAGAATCTCTACTCCTTCCAGATGGTGCCCCATAGATATTCCTGCCTTTTTATTCCGCAATTGTGTCGCGCATTTGAATTAAGTGCAAATGACATGAGATTTTCAGTGGAAAACAATGCGAGGCGCCCCTTCATTTTGGACACTCTGGTGTAGCAAGATTTTAAGCCACTGCACAGTTGTACAACAGAGTGGAGTCCTGGCTCCTGTCCTCCTCTGTCTCCTGACGCAGCCGCTGCTTCTGCATTTCCCTTTGACTGTGGCTTGGCTTAGCACTCCTTTCGCTTGTTTTTCCACAGCTGAGTTTTTCATTGTCTGGCTCTGGTTCTTGGGTGCTTTTTGAATTTATTGAAATGTTTGTTTGTCTGCCATGTTTGCTGTGGCTGGCTGTCCTTGTTGCTTGCGTGCATTGTTGGCAAGGCTCCTCCGCCTTCTTCTGGTGCTCATTCAATCCTGCCACAGCTGCGCCAGGCGTATGCAATTCTTTATCCCTCATTCCGCCCCTTTGCTCCGCCAGAGTTGTCATTGTCATTGCTGCTGTTGCTGTTCCCTGGCTGCTGCTGCATTTGTTGTCGCAAAATATTATTACTCCATTTCATTTATAAAAGTGCTCCCATCCCGTCCCGCCATCCATCCATCCCCTCCTTCTTCGCTTTAGGGAGGAGGATCTGGCACAGGAGGAACTGCCATTTCATTTCATTGTCAGTGTCGTGTCGTGTACGCCCTACCCCTACCCCCTGCCCATGCCACATGCCTCGTACTATGTGCCTCCTACTTATTGCCATTGTTGCTGGCTTGTCATTGGCTTTAACTCCTAATCTGCCAGCCAGGTCACATCTGGCCCATTGATCAAAGTGTCTTGTCTCTCCTTCTCTATCTCTGCCACAACGTGGCAATGTGGCAGAGTGGCACTGTGAATGCGACTGTCAACTTGTTTAAATTAAGCACCTAGCCACCACGCCCATCAAACCATCAGCCCACACGTAGAGTTTGTTTTCTCTTTGACAATTTTCAAATTTATTCTGCAATTTCTTTTGTCTTTTGAAACGCCTACGGAGTCTCCTCCGAAAGTATTGAAGAAACCATTTAATGCACGCTTTTCCTGGACAATTTTTCAATTTCCACACACAATTGACAATTGAGAATGATGGGAGAATCCCCCTCTCCAAAAGAGGGGTAAATGAATAGTTTTTCCGGGTTAATAAACTAGCTTTCTACGCCCACAGCAGAAGTTCTGCAGCAGTTGTGGCAGCCTCTCTAATGAGGATTTTTCCAGCTGTCTTTAAGGTGAGTCAATGAGGGGAGGGGCCAGAATGGCTCACATATGTTTGCTTTCTGTCTGCACAAACACTCATGATTACACCCATGCACACGCACATCCCGAGAACATTCATTTATGAGTGGAAGGAATATGTGAATAAGGAGCTTAAAGAGGCGACTTCTTTGCAGATGCCAAGAAATGAATATTGGAATATTAAACACTTTTATTAACTTTTGCATAAGCTAAGGCGGAGAAGAAATACAAGTCAATACAGGGATCCAAAAGGGGAGGAATGGGCGACATAATTTAGTGGATAGAAATGCTCCGAGTGAGAGATATTTATGGCAAAAATTTTTAATGGATTATCACCAGCTTCCGCAGCACTTGCCACACCCCCGAGGCTGCATGCTAGGATGAAAGGACAACCCTATAGGGAGGGGCCATAGCCATATAGACCATACCATCGAAATGCCTTTTAGTTTAATGTGTTTATGAAAAGCAAAGCACTTTGAATCTAAGTCAAATGGAATTGAATTGAATGGAATATAGTTGGAACGGAGCACCATTGTCTTTTGGAACGGTTCGGGGTGTGGCCAGAGCTCCCAACTCCCAAATTGAAACCTTTTTGATTTGTGGCACAGTTCGAGTCACAGTTTGTGTGTTGATATTTACAGGCGGGGGAGGAGGATTGGAGAGGAAATGCGGCCAACGCCGCCTGATTTATGCGTCCGATGCAAGCCAAAGGAAATGACAACTGAATGGCTTCATTAGTGCCACTGCCACTGGATGCGACCCATGCTGTATGCTGGATTATTTCTGTCCTCGAGTTTATTGCACTTCGACTTTTGACTTTTGCCCTCTCTTTCTCCCCTGAAAAGTGAAAGAGAAAGACAGCGGGAGAGCCATGAAAAGATGGCGGCAATGATCACAATTCAGCAATAATAATTTCATGCTTTTAATTCTGAGAAGTTGCAGTCTCTCTCTGCCTCCCTGTGTCTCTGCGGTGGCTCCCTATGAAAATTCGCCAAAACTTTCTACACGCGACTCTCATAAATTATGAAGAGTATTTTGGGATGCCTCAATCCTTTGCCACAGGCCAACGACCGTCCTCCCCCTCTCCCTGTGGAGTAGGATCAGAGTAAGGGTCTGCCAGAAATTAGCAAATCGTCACGTAGCCTCCATGAAAGAGGGAAATGTTTACTGTTCATGGAAAAATACAAGAGAAAACCCCGACACAGGCAGAGGACTTTGATAGAATGCATGTGTGTGGCATGTATCCTTTTGGCAGACAGCGATACAGAAAAGCGGAACGATTGTTGCCGCTATCTGGGTTATTGTAATGGCTGTTGTTCGTCATCTTAGACACGCAATTGTGTTTCATGGATGCTCCCCCTTGACCGCCACTCACCCACAAATAGTCCAGCTTCCCCTTCAGCCCATTCTCTATCCTCCTTCAGCAATCAACTTAATTGCTTTCCCCCGGACGGGCAGGACAGCGCCTCTCTAGTGCAGAGATTCTTTTGTTTAGTGAGTGAAAATTGTTCTGGATATCGCTTACCAGGCGATATCCTGGCATCCCCCTGGTTTTGAGTGAACAAACATTCATTAATCGAATCTGTTGCTCCAACATTGTTGGGCCAAAAGGCTGAAAGTTGATTTTATTGTTGCCAAGATTTATGAGCCACGGCCCCAAGAGCCTCCCAAGTGGTGGCAGGGCAAATAGAAACGGGCTAAGACAATTGCAATGGTCCCGTGCAAATATTCATTTGTTGATTATTTTCTCCGAGTTTGTTTGCCGAAGAAGAGAAGCAGCAGGGGTATGTGGCAGAGTGTCATCTTCAAGGTGGAGTTCTCGTTACACCCCTCCCCCTTCCCTCTTTCCAACTTCCTTTGTGTGTGTGTGCCGCAACAAAAGTTCTTGGCAAATATTAGCAAAAGTTGCGGCAGAGAGAAAAGTTGTTTAGGGAAAGTACTTGAGTTCCGGCTTAAGCTGAAGATTACTCTATAGCTAAAGCGTTGCCCCATCCCCATCCCCTAACTACCTTTTACTCCTCTCTCCCGCTCTTTCTTACCCGATCCTATTAAAAGTGCATTAAACTTGTCCCAGAGACATTCCCGAGCTGCAATTGATTGGGGCTACGTGTCCTTTGGCTTTGTTTCGTTTAATTTCACTAAATTATTCAACTGTCTGCCTCTCACTCTCGCTCATTGTCTATCTGTGTATGTGTGTGCCGTTATTACGTCTGGTCAGGTGCTGGGCTAGCCGAATTGAGTCACAAATACTATTCCTTCATCATTGGGTTAGTTGCTAGTTAGTTGGTAGCATTGTAGGTCCCATAGATCCTTTCAACACCTTTTGGCTCTAGCTTCAGTTTTGGCCCTAGCTCTTTGACGGCTTTATTACAAAGAGAGAAAATAAGAGGGAGAAGGGACTACTGGCTCGCCATATTGATTATCGATTTGGGAATTGGCCTGGTCTGGTCCTGGTCCTGGTCTTACCTGGTTATGCTCCTGTGTGAGTGTGTTTGTGCTTGTATTTGTGTGCATTCAATTTAGGCAACGTGTTAGCCACTTTGGCTTAGACAACGGATCCCGATGCCATTCCCCCTTTGGGTGGCAGAGCACGTTTGGATTTTATGGTTCATTTGTTGGCGCTTAGACGCCCGACTCGCCCGCTTGTGGCTCGTGAGTCCCACTGCACACATATATTGGAAATGTTCATTGGACGCAGCCGCCTAGCCACCTTCGGAGCAGGAACAATGGTGCGGGAGCGTCCACAAAGTTGTAGAACAAAAAAATGGGAGATGATTGTGGTGTTGTTCGTGCCACTGGGAGATCCCTAAACAATAAATATAAGCAAAGAATTTTACCTACTTAGTTATGTTGGGTTGACTAAACTTGCAACATCTCGTACTCGTATCGTACTATAACATTTGCTATATGTCTGCCATTCTCTTTCCAGATCGAGGACGAGGGCAACCATGGAAACGACGAGACGCGTCTCTTCATCCTATCATCCTTGGCTACGTCGCATATGAGCCGTGTGTCCTGTATTCTGTGCGAAGAGCCCCTGCTCGTGTTCGACCGCTATCCCCTGGTCGATGGCTCCTTCTTCCTTAGCCCCAAGCAGCATTCCAGCGGCTGTATCGAGGTGAGTTATGATCTGTCCCGCTCTCCCCCTCTCCTGCTGTCCCTCTTCGTCATTTGTGATTGTCCAATGTGGCTGATGGCTGATGTGGCACCCACGCCGCCAAACTGCCACGCGGCTTTCACTCACCCACGTGTCCCACCAGCGTATACTTTCAGCAGCAATTAGAGTGGAGAGGCAGCAGCTCTTGCTCTTCTATACCAGCGTCTTCCATCTCCCTCTCTGGATGCCACTCCTTTCTGTCTCTCTTTCGGTGCAATTTATGACCCATTTCAGTCTCCATAATTACGCCCGGCCAACTGCAGATGCAGTCTGTTGCATTGTTGCATGGTGGAGTGCAGCAGTGTGGCCGGGGCACGCACGACCTACGCTTCTATAGTCTTTTCCTAGCCTCCCCCTCTCCTGGCCACTCCTCGTTATACCTCTTTTTCCTCTGCTGGGCTTTAATTTAACCCTGGATTTATAATTCATTGCCAGCTGCCGCTCCTGGGATTGGCTCCCTCCTGGCAGTGGCACTGGCCCAGGTCCATGACTGTCGGGAAGTGCTCCTCCTTCTCCACGTCCTCCTTTCCCCCTGACTTTGACTCTGCTTCTCTTTGTGGTTCGTGGGCGACTGAGGTGGAGGCAATGGCAGTGGCACCAATCTCCTGGCCAAGTTTATGCATTTTGCATTTTATTTGAAATTATTATGTCGCGTCGCATTGCCCCGCACCCCCTGCCAGTGTCACTGCAGCGTTGTCTCTGCCACTGGCTCTGTCCTTTTGTACGGCATGGAAAAATGCGCTCAGTTCCAAAAGACTTCCGCAGCCCCACCCCCTCTGTAAAGATTGGAAAGTTGGCGCTACTGACACACGATACACTAACCGAAAGGGAGAGTCGGGCTCTGGCAGTCTGTTTGGCAGAGAATGCATTTAAACGGTATTTTAAAGGAAGTAAAAAGTTAACAATTGAATAAATTATTGCTTTAATGCTGCAGTAATAGTGGATTTCCGATAGTGGTTTTTCGATAAAGGGTAGTCCCGTATTCGTTTCCTCCTTAGTTCACAATTTCCTCCCGCAATAATTTCTCATTGTTTGTGTGTCTGGGCCCTTGGCGTTTGTTGAATTATGCGGCAGGTTCCGCCCCCTTTTTATACCCGTACTCAAAAAAGAGTTAAGGGGTATATTAGATTTGTGGTAAAAATGGATGTGTGCAACGCAGAGAAGGAAACGTTTCCGACCCCATAAAGTATATATATTCTTGATCAGCATCAATAGCCGAGTCTATATAGCCATGTCCGTCTGTCCGTCTGTCCGTCCATCTGTCCGTCCGTCCGTCTTGATGAGCGCCTGGATCTCAGAGACTATAAGAGCTAGAGAAACCAAATTTGGTTTCCAGACTCATGTGATATCACACTGCTACAAGTGTATTTCAAAATTTCGCCCCGCCCCCTTCCGCCCACACAAAAGACGAAAATCTGTGGCAGGCACAGTTTTAAAGATACGATAAAACTAAAACCGCAGTATCGTAGAGAATGCCCATATCTACCAGATTGCCGAATCTGAATCAGATCGGATCATAATTATAGCCAGAATGAAATAATTTTCAGTTGCTTCCCCTCCCCCTCCCGCACACTCTGCCGCGTTCAGTGCGCGAGCAACCCCTAGCGGAGGAGATGTAGAATCTAAATGGTACTTGTACAAACTACATGTTAGATGTAGAATAGACATTGTAGATGAGATGTAGATAAAAAATGTAGCAAAAAAATGTAAAATGTAAAATTTTTTTTTTAATTCTAAAATTCTAAAAAAATCATGCTCAAAAATGTATATACTGACTGAGTACGGGTATAAGTAGAGTCGCGTCCCCAGAAGCGACTCACACGTTCCTTCTCGTTATTCCTGTTCTGGGTGCACCAGTTTCTCCACACCGTATTAAACTTCCGTTTCCGTCCTTTATTCCGTTCCCTTAAAGGTTAAATACGAGGGACGCACGCTATACTTGACCTCTGTGTGCATGAGCTGCCTGGACGGAACCTCCAGCAGTCGTCTCATCAGCTGCAGGTAAGCATATAGCGGCACTTGATGATGAACTTTTACCATCTATCCGGTCTATCCTATCACAGATTCTGCAAGGAACCCTGGGATGGATCCAGCCTGGTTCTCGGCACCATGTACGCCTACGACATCTTCGCGGCCATGCCCTGCTGCGCCGAGAGGTTCAAGGTGAGTCTTAGAGCTAAGCGATACAGTGGAAGACCCATCCATCCATTCATGTAATGTCTGTGTGATCCCGTTTTCGCCTTCTGCCACTCCCTTTGCAGTGCAATAACTGCTTCAAAATGCTGATGCATCCCCAGCAGCGGCTGAGCTTCTACAGCGACTACTCGCATGGGGTGACATGTCCCTACTGCAACACCCAAGACACGCACTTCGTCAAGCCGCTGAGCTTCTGCTACGCCAAGAGCTCCGCGACACGGTTGCCGACGCTCGCATAACATGAGGCCCCGTTGGAGCCTCCGGCAGGTACGGCAGCCGCAGTAGCAGCAGCCAGTGCCACAGGTGCTCCAACGGCCTCCTCGACGGCGAAGCAGCCTATCTTCAATGCGGCCATCGACTACTCGGCCCCACTGCAGCAGCAGATCAACCCGGACCTGATTGGCGCCCATCCCCATGCCCAGCAGCACCAACAGCAGCAGCAACAGGGGAGGCAACAGCAGCCGCCACAGCAGCAAATACATCAGCAGCCGCAGCACCAGACAGCTCCTCCCCAAAGGGGCAGCGAGGGAGGGAATTACCGCATGAACAACTTCCACCATCAGCCGCAGCAGCAGAATCAGCAGCAGCATCAGTCTGCTCCAACTCCAACTTCGATTGAAGCTCCTCAGAAGGTGAGCAGCTACCAACGCAACATCATTTCCATGAATGATGTTTTGAGAGAGTACCAGCAGCAGCAGAAGCAGCAACATCCGCAGCAACAGATGGGGAATGATGCAGGTGCCCTCCTTTTGACCAACGGCACCGCCATCAACAACCATTCAAGCCAATCCGGCGTCGGCAGCAGTATTAGTAACTTATTAAATAGCCATAATTCAAGCAACAACAGCCACAATCATCAGACCAACAACAACATCCAGAAGCTGAACGGGGCCTGGGGACAGACGGACACCATATCCGCTTTGTGGGGCTGCAGCAGCAGCAGCGGCTGCTCCTCGGGCAGCGGCTCACAACCGTCGCTCAGCCCCACCGCCAGCAGCCACAGCAAGGAGACGCTGCTGTGGACGGCCCAGACTTCGCCCAGCAGTCAACACCTCAGGGACAGCGCCAGCTTCAAGGAGCTGCAGCCACATGCCGCTTCGCCGACAGCCTCGTTGACCAGCTCCTCGGGTGCCTCATCCACCTCCGGCTGCTCTACCTCGAATGGCTGGAACACCAGCGCCGGTGGTGGCACACATTACGGCAAGCCCAACATCTGGGAGCTGCCCGGACAGTCGGCGCAACGCCTCCAGGCCCACGACATCTTCACCGATCTCCTGTCCAACCTGAGCATCAGCCAGGACAGCGGCAGCCACAGCCAAAGCCAGAGCAGCCAGACCAAGGCGGATGCTTCAGACGTCAGCTCTAACTCGTCCTCCTCCGCGGGGGAGCTTCTGGAAATGGGCAACATCTGGCGGCACAGTGTCAGCGGTCTGGGGGGTCGCCATGCGGCGCAGGTTAACACCTATCCCCAGATCTACGAGGAGCCAACAGGAGGCGCCGCTTGCATGCAGCTCTTCAACGATTATCTCAACATGCACTAGAGTAGTGCGGAGAGGAGCAGAGGAGTAGCGGATGGATAACGATTGTTACTCGTGAGAAATGTAACCCTAGAAAGAGTAAGAACAGAGCGAATCGGAGATAAGAAAAGAGCAACATTTTATGAAAAATCTAAATATCCAACAAATTTTTAGAGCAAACTTGAAACCGAAACAAGAGTTGAAGTTTTGTTTGTTGTTTGCGATTAGTTTTAGATCGTCATTTGATTTTAATACACCCACACAGGCAAACATTTTTACACACCTTTACACATATAATAACTCCTTCACTGAGAGAAAACAATGCAAACTAAAAAAAATTTTTTTGTTATTTTTGTTGAGTTTTGTTTATTTCTTTTATACAAAAGCAATTTTTAGTTTTATTTTTTATAAAAAAATTTGTATACATATTACCAAAAAAAAAAATGAACAACAAAAAGAAAAAAGGAAATATAAAAACAAAGAGATAGCGGGAGACCGAAGGAGAAGAGGAAACATTTACATCACGACGAAGGACAGTTTTATTTAGCGAAATTGAAGGCAAGGCATTAAATTGTTTTAACAAATCACGAGAAATGCTGTGCTGCTCAATAACAAAAGAGAAGGAAAACCAGAATAAAGTAGAAAAGAGTAGACGTTGAAGGCGAATAGAAGGACGGATACGGATAAGGAGAACGCGAAACATTTGCTACAATTTATGAAACGTAATATTACAAAAACTAAATTTAATTAAAACAACATTATCGATAAGTTGCACATCTTTACCTAAACGATTGGTAATTATTCCTAGTTTTAGTAAGCGAAACGAGAACCGAACCTTCAAGCGAATAAGTTTCTCTCTCCATTACACGATTCAGTTCGACCCAGAAAAAATTACATACCCACCCCCACTCACTGAAAAATAGCAGCAGGGCAGCACATGCAACAGAGTACATACACTCCCCTCTACAGGTGTTTCAAGCAATCGAACCCCCAAGCCCATTCTCTTTATATTGTAAGTTATTCCTGACCCCACAAAAAAAAATCAGTAAAGGAAAACAAATTTCGGCGCAGCGTGATCATTTAATTATTTAAGTTTAAGCGTAGGATATTTTTTAAAATCTTCTTGTATGTATGTATATGATTAGGGTTTCTTCTCTTTGTCGTAACTAGCAGAGCAGCCGTATGTGATGGATCTCTAAAGGTAGGGTGACAACCTGTCCATGGGTGCCCCCACCCATGCAGGCACTCACCATCGATAGGTTTAGTAGGTTTAAGATGAATTTTTCTAAATTTTAAATGGTATGCAAACATCCAACAATTTATAGAGCGGTTCAATGTTTCCTGTTTTTTGTTTATTTCGGGCACGGAAAAGTCACCAATCTGTCTTCCCCAGACCCCGTCAACTCCCCAACACCTCTTAATTCTATATTCTTTTCCCTTCTCCCTTCTCGAGCCTGTGAAATTTTAATCGAATTGAAAGTAAAACTCCTTTTGATATAACCCCCAACTGTGAAGGCATGTTTAAGGAAACTTAAACGCTAATATTGTCCCTCCGCTAAATCTCGCTATAACCAGATTTATATCTTTCTATGCCCCTTTTCCATCCTGTGAAGTTTTAATCCAATTAAAAAAACACCCAATTTAATGCAAGACCTGTGAGATAATTTTTAGGCAATCTAAAAACTAAAAACAGATCAGCAGAAACTGTGTTAGATTATCCCCTAAGCCAAACAAAAAAACCAATTTCATTTTTATTCGTTCTCAATCCTGTGAAATTTTAATCGAATTGAAAGTAAATCCCCACATTGATATACCCCCTGTGAGAAAATGTTTAGGTAACCTAAACTTTAAAAAAGATCAGCAGAAACTGTGTTAAACTATCCCGCTGCCCCATCCCCCCATGTTCGATACGAACTCCTAACCATAAGGTTATTCTCTTAAGTTTCGTCAAATCATCTGTGAGAAGAGTGTCGGCCCCTCCCAAAGATGAATCCATTGGCGTGAACTCTGCTAAACATGGGAAGGCCCAAAACTCGACTGTGTTTGCCCACTTCACTGTGATTGGACTGTTCGACAGGAACGAAATTTTTATAAAAAATTCTAAAACCCCAAACCAAAAATGTGACTAGGCCAGGCTTAAACCCTTTCTTCAGCCCCTGTGAAACACCGTTGAGAACAAACATTTTGAGAAAATGTCTAAACCCCACCCCGAACCAAAAATGCCTTCACGAACACATCCAAACTGTGGATTCCCCACCACACTCCCCAACCTTTATTGTGAATATCTGTTCGAGAGGAACAAATTTTTGAGAAAAATTTAAAATCCAACCCACTACCATGGGTGTGATATTAATCGGATCTCGGTTAAAGATCAATCTGTCTGTGAGGCTTTGTGACGGAGACACTGTGAATGCCTCCCTCCCCTCCCACCTTATCTAACCCAATACACTATCCCACCACACTATCCCCTAATATATAATCCCTACCTATTGGTGACTTCTGGTGAGGGTTTGCTTGAAATACGATCCCACTTTTTGAGCCAGGGATGCGACAACCGGTCGCCTCCGTTTAGCAGTTGCATGTGCTGCCCCTTTCCAACTCTGAAATTCCTTTGGGCATTTAGCTTTGCCGCCATTTTACATACCAAATAATACAAGTTATATAATTTACCAGCAATTTTTCAGAACGCATGAAGAGACAACTGAGTGATAGTAAATTTTTGTTTATATAACCATAACTGGGACACCTTCGTTAGGCATACTTATATAGAATTACCGTTTAGTTGATAAGTACTCACCCTATACCTTATATACCCACACCTTATACCTAACACTTAATACCTACCTACAGCTCTAACTAAACCTAAATTGATAGAAATTAGCGACAAGCGAGACACTTTTTGGCATTTACTTGAGAGGGTTATATATACTATACGTCTGGCGCAGTTATATATATATATAATTTTCGTCTAACTCTAAGGTTTTAAATCTAACATATATTACATGGAGAAAGAAAGGAATAAGAGGGGAGGAAAGTGACGTTATTTATAGGCACAAAGACCCCACAAAACACACACAAACATGACACACAGTTACACAGAGAAACACCTTAACTTTTGCATAGTTATATCAATATTTAATTGGAGTAACCTTTAGCCCTACACTTCTAAATATTATTGGTAATAAGTTATACGCAACCCAAGGCCAGTCCGGCCTTGATCTGGTCAGGTTTGTTCAGGTCAGGTTAGGTCAGGTCAGGGCAGCAGCACCCCGCACCACCAACTACCACGTAAGTCAGCCCGTGCTTTAGTTTGATTCTATGTTTGTTTTAGTTAAATTTGCAAGAAGGAAAGCTCGCAGCAGTCGAGCCACAACAAAACTTATGCCCACCTCAGCCACCAGGATAAATGAGAAACAAAGAAAAAAAAAAAAAAAAATTAGAGAACGATCGAATTCGATTAAGATCCGATCCGATCCTCACTAAACAGAGTATGATAGTCAGACTTCCAAGGCACCTTGCTCTACCTAAAAGAAATAGCAGTAAATCATAACTAACTCTAGTAGCTCCTAAAGTAATCACAAAATAGTTGAAGAAGGCGGATAGGCAGGCAGACAGGCGGAGTAAATCTATAAAATGGTAAGAGAGAGCATAAAACACATTAAAATGTAATTTATATTACCTCGTTAGCAAAAATCAATAACAATTAACGAATAACAAGTATAAAATGTTTTCTAAATGCGTATAAAACAATTATAAAAGAACACAGGAAAAACAAAATATACACCTAAAGCAAATAATCAATTTTATAAACAATAAAAAGCAGTTTTTGTTTAGTTTTTAATTTGTACTGAACTCAAAACACCCACTCAAAACCATTTTCTTATGTTAAACCAATGGGATATTTGCGCGCTTTCCATAACAAGCCTTTGTTAATTGCATCTTTGATGATCTTCCTTATCCGATCGCAAAAAAATGTTTAAACTTTGACCGAAATTCTTAAAAACCAATTCTTGAAAGCTCCCTCAGAGCTCTCGCAGATCATCTGATGACGCAATGTACAAATTGGTAAAAGTTTAGGCACTTTCCACCGCAATCCAAGACAATAGCGAAGCAGCGCAGCAAATATTTCCACATACAACCCCATATCCTCAATGCAATCCCTTATCCCATCTCCTAGTGTACTCCCGGAACTCCCAAATTTATAGTTTGATATTTTAGCGTCCCACAAACGTAATTTTTTGTTGAATTAAATATACACCTAGCACACTTTTGTTTATGCATAATTCGTAATGTGTAATATATATATACTTTGTACCTTTTTATGTTATACACGATCCGAAGAAGGAATCCACCCTCGCCCAGTGTTGTATTCCCTATCCCATCCCGTTTTCTCCTCCTTACCTCCCACACATTTTGGCAATTCATCTCTTGAATGTCTACTTTTAATGTAATTTAGTTAAATATTTTAGTTGATTTTTATTATGATTATTCGAACTCCGTTCATTTCTATACGAATGGAAATCTAAATAAATTAAATTACATTTCAATAAAAATAACATAAAAACGTGAAAAATTACACTTCCTTCTGCTATTATTATTATTATTAATACAATTAATATTGAATTTTTGTTGAATTTAAAAATAATTAAATGAAATATTTGTAATAATTTACTTTCGTTTCTATTTGATTTGATTTTTGGTTCCAACTGCATTCATGATAAACATAAAAATATACTCGTATATGGATATAGCGAATGCTATCTTGCAGGAATACAGGAAGGAGAAATCGACTCAAGAACCTTTACCGAAATGTATTGCTTAGAATTGGGCAGGAAACCTTGATGAAATATCGTGAATTTGGTTCTCGATCCTATACGCCAGTTTTTCCCGATTGCGATTTAGTTTAGCAGCTACCTCAGTTAGTCACACAAACACCACATAACTTATATATTTAGTACGTTACATGTTTATGTACGACGTAGGAACATGTTAATCGCAGCTTAAACATATAGCTTAGAACCCGTTTACATTGCCCCAGTATGCAAAAGTTTTGTCCAATTCCCGCAGCCCCCAGTCCTGGATTTGCTCTCGTTTTCCATTGTTCTTAAGCAAACTTGCTTACTGAGTTACCTGTGCCCCTATTCCTAAATATAAACGCTATCCCCATCTAACCCCAATGCACTAAATCAATTTCTTAGTTGAATTTTGAGTTGAAAGCGCAGAAGAGGAAAGGTCAAATGTTGTAGTCGAATTTTTGTTCACGTTTGTTCTCGTTAAGTTGAAGATTTCATGCCAAAGTACAAAACCTTAAATCAATTCTTCGTAATTCCTAATTGTCGATGTCTTTGAGTTACCTGAGCATTGATCGTAAGAGACCCTACCCTACCCGAATCTACAA